AAAAAGAAAGTAGTTGCGGACGTTGTCGAAGCCTTAATTGGCGTTTTTCTTGTTGAAGGAGGTGAAATGGCAGCCTTATCGTTTATGAGCTGGCTTGGTATAAACGTTGACWTAGTCAACCAACCCTACATACGAAACGTGACGCTTGAACCCGAGAGGTTCTTAAACGTTCAACACTTGGAATCTCTTCTCGGTTATTCATTTCRTGACGCATCTTTGCTTGTTGAGGCATTAACGCATGGATCTTACATGCTGCCGGAGATTCCAAGATGTTATCAGGTAACTTGAGACGTTTTTTTTTTTGTTTTTGTTAAACGAGTAAATTACGTTTTTCGTTCCTATGGTTTGTTAAAAATTGCGGTTTTCGTCCCTGTAGTTTAGAAATTGCAGTTTTCCAAATGGTTTGTAATTCTTTGTTCTTTCCGTCCTTTTGATTTACAATTTTTTTGTTGTTTCGGTCCTYCTAGTTAAAACTCTTTTTGCGGTTTTGGTTCCTTGTACTTAAAAGGTAGAAACTTGTCCAAGGACGAAAATAGCAATAAATTGTAAGTTTGGGGACGAAAAATGCAATTTTTTAACTATTAGGGACAAAAATAGAAATTGTTAACAAACCACATGGACGAAAATTCTAATTTATTCTTGCTAAATTAAACCCTAAAGATATTTGAGGTAACCCGCCGAGTATTGTCTTATCCTCCTAGACCCTACTTCCAATCAAGACCTATCTGGGTATTCGATAACCTTTTTTGTTCGACTTTTGAGGTCTATTTTAGCACTTCTCCAGTAAAATATCGGACGGGCGTTTCTCTTAGATTGTTATAAAATTTCTTCTGTCCCAAAATAATTGACCACGATGAAAACGGCACACAACATTAGAAATGTGTGATTATTACAATTTTTTGAGTCAATTACGTTTTTCGTCGCTATGGTTTTTTTTTTWAAATTGCGATTTCTGTCCCTGTGGTTTAGAAATTGTGGTTTTTTCCCCAATTGATTGTAATTCATTGCTATTTTTGTYGTTATGATTTATAACTCATAGTTGTTTTGGTCCTTGTGGTTTACTGTTATTTACTGTTTTTGTCCCTTGTACGTTAAAGGTTGGAATTAGTCCAGGGACGAAAATAGCAATGAACTATAAACCATAGTGATGAAAATCACAATTTCTAAACCGCATGGACTAAAATCGAAATTGTTAACAAACCATAGGGGCAAAAATTGTAAATTTAGTCAACTGAATGACGATTTATTTCTTCATCTCATAGTTGTCCACGAAAACCGGCACACAACATTAGAAATGTGTAATCATTACAATTTTTAATCAAGTAAATGA